TTATGAATACTTCTCAAATACAACCTTCTAATATTCTTTTTTCTGGATAAATCGTTTTCTGAATTCACAATTATGATCATCTATAACGAATTCAATATATTTTCTTTAGACAATCGACGAAGAAGAAGAATTAAATGAAGCAAATAGTCCGTTTAAAATCGAGTTGCAAGCTGTTTATTATGAATGTCTTGAAGCTTCAATTAGAAATGATGGTAATCTTTCATCATCTGAAAAAATCAAAGGAGCTCGACAGTGGTTATCATACATTAATCAACGATGCATACCAACGATTCCTATATAGTCCAATATTTTGTTAGGTCTGTATGATTAAGTTGTTCCTAATCATATGTTTGTGAACGTATACATTTAGGAAATCTATCACGTCACGGAAAATCGTCTATTTATGCATTCGATAATTTAATTCTGTCATCGCACAATCAAAGAACAAATGCAATTTCAGAACGTAGAATGTCGATCGTCAAGCGCACACAACTCGGTAATGATGTTTTTTCTGAATTTAAGTATATAAACATGATTATTTGATTTCTTTTACAGGACAACAAACACGTATTCGATCTGATATTGTACTTGAAATTCTCGTCAATGATATGAAAAAAATGCTTGAGAATTTTTCAATCTCATTAATGGCTGCAGTCTGTCAGGATGGTGCTGATGAAAGAAATTCTAAACATTTAAAAGTTATTCAAGAACGTTGAAAATCCAATCGTCGTGGTCACGGTCATTATGCTAAAGCGCCAGAAAAAATGATCATGAACAACTTAAAAAATGTTTTAATCATGCCATCTACAAATATTAATGCCGATCTTATTATGCCACAGCTTACTGTTTCATATTGGCTTAAAATATCAATTGAACTTTTATTATCGATAAAAGTAGTTCGTGAAGCACTTCCATTATCATCAAGTAATACACTTTTACTAGATGATATTGTTGGTTTTATTAAAAATTGGGTTTCTATCTCAAAACGCCTTAAGTCACTCAAAAAAACGAACGCTGAAATAACTCAAGTACTGAATACGGAGTTTCATTTACCAGTCAATTTTCCACTTGATACAGATGAACAAATAGCAATTATTCTTCATAAAATTCTACTTCCAATTATTGCTCATCCAATACCAGCTAAAAAGATTTACAATTGTACAGCTTGCAAAAATGTTCTTAACATTGGATTTGACATAGATTATATACAAATTAACATGGTAGAAAATCAGTTCCGCTTCAATCAACAATTATCAAATTACTTTTCTGATATTTCATCTGATCGTGTATGTGATAAATGTCATATGTTAATGAGTAGACAACTGAAGATTTTAGATTGTAAGTTATTTATAACATTCTATTGTTTGTCTTGAGAGCCCTCTAATGATAATCAAAGCATGAACTCACTTTTTTTTAATATTTTTATTATCAGCGCAATCAATTACTTAAATATTTTCACTTTCATATTTAGGTCCTCCTGTAATTATTTTAAAAATTAGTGGCATGAAGCCTTCAACAACATTATTATCAAAACCTCCAAATGCAGTTTGTTTTTATCCATTTCTTGATCAATCATGTATTGCTTGTTCATCATCAACCGTCTTTGATATTGTTTGTTTCTTGTCAGTTCTTTCTGGTGCTACAAACAAAATTGTATTAGCTACAAGAATCAAACAAAGATGGAAAATTAGTTCAATGAATAAATTAATAGGTAATGGTGAGACACTAGGAAAACTGTTTGCTAATAGTCGAATTGTAATACTTGAACGTGTTCGAACATGCAGCACTAATTTCATTTATGCTTTTGCTCAATGTTGTTCGATTTCAATTGATATTGAAGAAAATAGCATTGGATCCTGTAAAACTTTACGTCATGCCATACATATTATTGAAAATAATCAAATATTTAATAACCTCCGTAACATTTTATTATCACATATAACGACATATGATCAATGTCGAAAATGTTACAGTACATCGACTTCATTATCATCAACAAGAAAATGTGTATGTATTTATGAATCAGAAACAAAAAATTCAGTATATGCTATACCAATAACAATACAAAATTCAATTAAATTTCATTGTTCTCATTGCAACGAAAACTATGATGATGTTATTCTACATACACACTTTCAAACTCATCATCAATATCCATCTATGATTATGTATCATTTATTTCGTCCAACATTTGGATTAGCTATGGATCTCCATGTTGAATTAACTGACGATACACAGCAGAAACATTTGTACGAGCCATCGAGTATTTTACTCGTTGATGAATACAATGCTGTGTCAGTTATTCATATTCATGAACTTGTTGTCTTCTCTTCCAGTCCTTATAAGACGCCAATCCAATACACAAAGGATGAAATAAACGAGCTTTTTGATACCAGTCGCACATGTATTGTTTTTCTTAAACATGTAAGAAGAACATGAGTTTGTGAGGCATTTGATTTTGTGGCAAATTCAATTTCGTTATACTTTACATCGCTGCAGCAGTATAATGCTATGGTGGTACAGAGGTGTAGTTGGGTATGATGCCACAACTGTTTCTTTGGAAGAGCGAAGGATAGGAGTTAACAGAGAGAGATGAGCGGATAGAAAAGAAGAAAATTATTCTAGCGAGACTTCTCCCTCTCTTTCTGTGGTCACCTCAACTTTTCAATGTTTTTCTGACAAGTTCATTTTATAGTAACGAAATTGAATACGTCGTAAAACCTAATTTCTCATCATATGATTGACATTGTATGTTATGAATTTCATAGTTTTTTCTTTTTTTTTTTTTTTTAGACAACAACAAAAACACCATCAACGTCAACAACATTAACAACAACAGTGGTAAAAACAATAGCAACATCATCATCAACATTAACACCAATGGCAACAGCATCATTAACATTATCAACACCAACTTCAATTTTACTTAAGCAACCGATAGCAGTAAATCTGTTACAGAGTTCTACAAAAGTAAGTGGAAGAAAAATTTTTCTTACGAAATAACATAATATCATTTTCTTTTATGTATCCTGAAATAGAAATTGACTGTTGGATCTGTTCGTTCATTAACAATTAATAGAAAATGATTTTTTTGTATCAACATATACCATCATCAAATGTTTTCTCATTTTTTTTATACTTATCTTGTAATTATGTATTGTTCCTGTATTGGATTGAAAAGTAACAATAAAGGAATTGGAAGAAAAAAAACAGAAAAAAAATTAGTGTTTTCTGAATTTTTTTTCAGTTATTCATTTTAATTGAAATTCAGAACTTTCTTTTCGAGTACATGATTAATACCGTGCTATTCAGTTTTTATGCTCGGATTATGCAATAATGTCGAAACAATAACATTTTACATTTTTATTTATTGATGCATTGAACATTTCTTCGATCGTGACGCATATTTTTTATATTTTTTTAAATTTCAATCTCAATGTAGCCTATATGTCACGAAACGACTTACGATAGTAGAAAGAATAAGATATGACAATAACAACTAGAGACATCTCGCGAATTATTCGTCATCTGCATAGAGGAAGTGTACAACTCTATGTAATGGCTTTTTTTTATATGTAGCGTCGATTGTATGTAGATTATCTCAACCCACATAAATGCATTTAAATTAATTCGATCGTCCAATGATATGCAATATCTATTGTGTTCACATATATTATTTGTTGATTGACATATTGATCTTTTCAAGTAACCATGTGGGCCGAACTTGTTC